TTGAAATTCCCTTTACAATTTACTATATTATTGTGCGAATGACGTTCAATGCAACCATCGTTTATCTTGCTGACTGGGCTCCAAAGTTGGTATGTAGTATTTATTTTGATTGGATGAAGCCTTGGAAACATCGGCGAACCCGGCCCTAAATCATGTATTGGAAAACATGGATACAATAAGTGACAATGGGGCCACAATCGGGGCCACCGTTGGAGTTCCATGTCTTGTTGAATCTCAGCGGAAGATATTTGTGCAGCCTAGGGAGGAATGTGGCAAAATATTTTAATTAATGCTTAAAGATACGAAAAAATGACCTACTGACAGGTTATTAAGGTACTTTTAAAGCTTAACTGCTCAGATAAATATGTGAAGCCAACGTACAACAAACATTAATAGTATGCCAATCATTTGCCATCTGTAACCGTCTCTATTTTATCCAAGGAAATGAAAGACCTTTTAGTGACGTTTTGTCTGTATCACACTATCTTCACGCATTATTTACTGATTGAGAGATAATACACGAGATAAACCCACAGAAGAGATGAAAATCCGAAATTACTGGATCAAAACTGGAAATTATTCCTAATATAGATCGAACGCATTTCACTAATCCTTGTGTATTATATTTATCAGTGAATGAGCTGAATGTGTTAAATATAGATAAATAATGACAGGTTCGCACTCATTCATGAGCAAATTGACGGTCTGATTGGACATGGATGTTTTTTTTGCCGTTCATGCCTGTTTTGACATAATCACATAGTTTACTTGTTTCTTTATTTTATTATTACTGTGATATGCTTTTTTTGCACACTGCATTTGTAGACAGAAAGTACCTGTTTTAGCGATTTTAATGTTACGGCTCGGATTTTGATGTCATTGTCGAGCGTTGCATCTGAAGGAAGTTCCACAAAGTCTTGAAAGTCCCCAAGATACTCTTGAAAAGTGACATGCTCAGGAGCAATATCACCCGATAACACATCAGAGAAGGTTTGGAGGAAATGAGGGCGCAATTTACAAACTTCTCCTCCCTTCTGAAAGGAAATAATCCGCTTGATTTCGCCATGAGTCACATGGATTCTTAT